CCCCCGCCGCAGGCCTCAAGCCCCCCACCGCTGTGATCCCCCCGCCAGCTCACCCAGCAGCTGCCTGCGGCTCTCCTGCTCCTCCAGGTACAGGGGGTCCCGGTAGTGCACGGGGGCCTCGTCGGGGATGGAGCGCAGGTCCTGCATGCTGAAGCTGCGGAGCCGCCCGGCCAGCGCACCCTGGCTCTGAGACATGGAAAAGATGGAAGTGAACCCGACGGGGCAAACCCCAAAGCACCGGGGCACCCAAATGTGGGGCCAGGCACCAACAGCCCAGGGCGATGCAATCCCAATCCCACTGGGCAGGGCTCTGCACCCAGAGACCGCTCTCCTGACACCCGCACCACCCCTGCTGCGGCGGCATTGTCCTCCTGGGATCCCTGGGGCCAAAGCATCCTCAGGGAAGCGGAGCAGCCTGCCCCGTTCCTGGTACCTTGGCAGCCGCCTGGACCGCGGCCGTGGCTGCCATGTTGAGGCCCCTCTTGCCAAAGCGCACCATCGTCTCGTAGCCGCGCTCCCTGGCCTGGATGATGTACGTGTCGATCTCCTGCCAAGACAACCACGGTGGTGCTGAGCGCACACAGCACCGTGTCCCAGGGCATCGCCAGCCCAGCACCAGGAACCCAGGGTCCTCCCGAGCCCCCCAGGGCGCGTGGGACCCCTTCAGAGCCAGGCAGCCCTTACCTTCTCTTTGCGGGACAGCGTGGGGTGCACGAGTTTGCGGTAGAGCAGGCTGGCCCCCCGGGTGTAGGGGGAGAGCAGCCAGATGACGAAGGCCATCTTAATCTCGTAGTAAAAGGGAAACCTGCCGGAGAGGGGGAGAAAATGGGGGTGAGAAGATGGCGGGGGGGTCCAAGGGGACACCCTGCTCCCCACGCAGGGTCTGCCTAGAGCCAGGTGCCGGGCAGGCAGCGCGGCAGCCCGTGCCCCTCTCCTTGCAGGCAGAGGGGGGAGGCAGCCCCTTTCCCTCCCTCAGGGCACGGGGACCCCGACAGACCCGCTCCCTGCAGCGGCGGTGCCGGCACGCCGGCCTCACCAGGAGATGAGCAGGTCGGTGATGGTCTCCGTGGCCATGAAGAGCGCAAAGACGATCCAGTACATCATCCAGCGGACCTGCGGGGAGCGGGCGAGCCTGTCAGCCCGGGGCTGGAGCCCGGGAAGGAGCTGCCCAGGCACCCTACTCACGTATTCCCGGATGTTTTTGGTCCTCACAGCCTTGTAGGAAGCGTAGGCAGGGTACAGCATCCCGAAGACCAGCCTGTAACGGAGCGGGGGCGTGAGGCACGCGGGCCACCCCGCATAGAGCAGCGGCAGCAGGGAATAGCAGAGCCGCCCGCCCCAGCGCCGCAGCTTGGCCTTGAGCCCTTCCAGCACCATCCCGGCCGCGGAACCGCCGGGAAAAGGGACGGCACCCGTCGGCTGCGAGCACGGTGTCGCTCCCACGAACTCGCCCACCTCCGCGGGGACTGGCCCGACTTGTCGAGGCGGTGGCGGGAGGCACGGCGCAGGCTCGGGGCGGCGAAGCGGAGGCGAGGAGAGGCTCAGCTCCCTCGGAAGGCAGGATCGGCCCTGCCGGAGCCATGCTCGGTGCCAACCTCCCTCCCGGGACCCTGCAGCCTCGCTGGCCCGGCAGCAGGTGGGCGAGGTGGCATCCCCAAACGCGCATCTCGTGGCCCGGTGACTCAGCCGCTGCCGGCTATCCGGCAACG